ATATGACAAGCTTTCCCAAACTTAAATGTATAATGTTAAAAATATAAATATGTCAATTTAGTTTATTTTATAGATAATATTTGGGGTTCATATGCACCATGGTTGATATTCTCGATCCCTAAATTGTTTTATCCAAATTTCATCTCTACGTTGGGATGGATTTTGAAAAGAGGCGTGTGTGTATATATATATATATAAATAAATAAATAAATAAATGTTGAGGGGACATTAAATTTTTTTACTTTTTAAAAAATAGATGAGTCAGTGTAAGCATCAAAACGTTACTCATGCTAGAGATGTAATCTCCTCAACCTGGGATCCATCAAGAAATATCAACTGTCACACTCTATGTAGCTCATAAAATATTGTCATGAAAATTAAACACACATTGGTGGATGGTTGGATCCAAGTGTTGAGGGACGAAATTACAGCTTTTCTTCTTCTTCTTTTTTATGTTTTGATAAATCCCATCCATGGCAAAGTGGATCTCAAAATTTCTCATGGAAAATTTCCTTTTCGTTACAACTTTTATCTAGGTATTAAGTATACAATATGCTCCCAAAGCAGTCCACCGTACTGTCCGATAGAAAGAAATAAAGCAGTTTTGAGTTTGGCAGAAAACTAAAGCAAATAACACGTGGACATAAGACCAAATTACACGTGGCAATCTTTGGGCAGGGTCAATTACCAAATGAGATCCCATTCTTTCCGAAATTACGAACACCCACCCCCACCACTAGCCACGGGTTTCTCTTCCAACTCACCAAGGCTACTCCCAATTGGTGAGGAGCAGCCATGGCAGCGCCACCTCAATCGGCGGCGATCCCCTCCCAAACAGACCTCCATCACCTTCTCTCCGCCCATGCGCGTGGCCCGTCTCCGCAACGCGCTCTCCTCCTCTTCTATGATCACATGCTTCTTCACAGCCCTGCTTTTCCTGATCGTTTCACCTTCCCTTTGGTTCTCAAAGCTTGTACTCGCCTCCGAGACCTGCCCCTTGGCCGCCAAATTCACGCCACCTGGTTAAAGACTCCGCACCTTCATCGGATTCCCTTTGATCTTCACACTTGCAACACTCTTCTCCACTTGTATGCAGTGTGCGGCGAGTTTGGCAATGCGCACCAACTCTTCGACCGAATGCCGCAAAGGGATGTCATCTCCTACAATGCCATGATAAGTGCCCATGTCCGCGTTGGGAATCTGGCCCGTGCTCGCAAGCTCTTCAATGAAATGCCTGAGAGAGACTCCCAGTCTTGGAATTTTATGATCTCGGGCTATGCCACTGTTGGCCTGGCCGACGAAGCAACTGAGCTCCTCAATCGGATGCCTATGCCTCTGAAGGGGGTCTTGTCTTGGAACGCAGTGATCACTGCCTATTTACATGCTGAAAGGTTCCACGAGGCGTTGGTTGTGTTCGAAGAGATGCAAAGGGCCGACATGACGCCTGATAGCTTCACGCTCGTGGGCGTGCTCTCGGCCTGCTCCCACCTCGGAGCCCTGCAACAGGGGAAATGGGTGCATGCCTATATTGAGAACCATGATATCGAGCAGAACTCATACATTGGTACTGCACTTGTTGATATGTATTCCAAGTGCGGATGCATCCACGAGGCCCTCCGAGTCTTCCGAGACTTACCCCAAAAGGATGTTAAGACTTGGAACTCGCTGATCTCAGGCCTCGGAATGCATGGTTATGGCAGGGAAGCTCTGTGTCTCTTCTCGGAGATGGAAATGACCGGGTTAAAACCCAATGAGGTGACCTTCCTGGCCGTGTTATCGGCGTGCAGCCACACAGGACTGATCAATGAAGGCCTCTGTATTTTCGACGCGATGAATCGGGTTTATGGATTAGAGGTAGTGGCAAAGCATTATGGCTGCATAGTTGATCTTCTCGGACGGGCCGGACGATTGGGAGAAGCCGAGGAATTGATAGAAAGGATGCCTTTGAAGAGTGAAGCAAGTGTGGCGTGGGAGTCATTGTTGGGTGCATGTGGGAGACATGGCGATGTGGAGACTGGGGAGCGAGTGGCGATGAGGCTCGGAGAACTGGACCCCGCCAACAGCGCATGCTATGTTATGTTGTCGAATGTGTATGCGAGGTCCGGGCGTTGGGCTGAGGTTAGGGATGTTAGGAGGAGGATGAGGGCGAGAAATATTGGGAAGGAGCCGGGTTGGAGCTCGATTGAGGCCAATGGGGTTGTTCAGGTGTTTTTAGCAGGAGAAGGAAGGGGTGAGATCTTTCACAATTTCCAGGGGGCAAGCCTTCAGCACTGTTCAAAAAATCAAACTGGGCCAGATCGAATCACAAAAACTATTTAATGAATTAGTTTATGGGTGTGGTTTATATATGGTTGCAACTTTAAACAATGCAATTAAGGCGCAACTCTAAAATTTAACATAATATGTAATTTTGGTGTAAGGATTATCTCAAAATCTATTTTTATATTTAATTATAAAATTTTAAACTCCAAAAGTAGTTAAAATCAAGTAAATCTATAAACATATGAAAATCTTGAAAATAGACCGTTTAGATAATGTGTTGCAAGATGCACTATTTCTTGCACTCAAAAAATATATATATATATATATTTTCATATTCTTACATCTCGATATTGAGATGAATAATTAAGAAGTTTTTCAACATTAAAACAACCTTTTCAATGGATTTTTGAGGCGCATATGTAATTCTACATTTTAAAGTTGCAATTTTATATATATATTTTTTATTTTATATTTATAAAATAATATATATAAAAAAAAAACTATACAACATATCATCATCATAGCTTTTTTCTAATTAATTGGAGTCTATTACACAAATCTTGGTATATTATTTTGCTCTATTTAAGGTGAGGCTATAAATCTCCATATCTCATGGAAACTATTTAGTGAGCCCATAAGTCTTCATGTCTTTTCGAACTACTTCCAACTACATCATTTTGAGTTTATTTTTTACCATTTTGAATCCTTCCACTTGAGCTAACTCGCACCTTCTAACAGGTGATATACTGGGTTAACGTCACACATATGCATCCCACCTAAGTCTACTATCTCACATCTTATTACATATTGGTGTCACACTTTAACTTTCTCGAATGGATTCATTTCGGATTCTATCCTTTCTTGTTTTGTCATTCATCCATCTCAACATTCTCATCTCCGCTGCACTCATTTTATGGATATATTATTTTTTGTCCACCCAACATTCCGTCCCATAAAACAAAGCCGGTGTCACATTTGTCCTATAAAACTTACTATTTAGCTTCATTGGTATACGATGATCGCCTAAAATTTCAATTGCACTTCTCCACTTCGCCCACCCAACTCTAATTATATACGCGACATTTCAATCAATCTCTTCATTTTCCTAGATTATCGATCCAAGACATCGAAAGTACGATCTTTTTTGTACTTCTTGACTGTCGCTTATAGCTATTTCCTTGTCTCTACTCCTATTATTGCTAAAATTACACTTCACATAGTTTGTCTTAGTCCGGTTAATTTTAAAACAATGGGATTTTAGAACATCTCTTTAAAGTTCTAATTTTGTGTTGACACCGTTTCGAGTCTCATCCATCAAAACTATATCATCTCTGCAAACAACATGCACCGCAATATCTCATCTTACAAGTGCCTAGTTAAGTTGTCCATAACTAAGAAAAAAAGGTACTGGATCAATGCTTATTCTTGATGTAAACTGATTGTCACTGAAAAAACATATATGTATGTAAAAATAACAATATATAATATTTGAGTAACTGGGTCGGATATGGTTCGAATCCACTTGGATGCAGATCCAATACAAATTAAAATTTGGATCCCAATTTTGGATCTGGATCTTACCCTTCGAATCCAAGTCTTAGGTCTATACCGGGTCCAAAATTTGGATTTCAAATCCAGACAGGGTAATTCTTGACCCTAGAACGATGGATATTACGATAAATTTGGAGAATGCAGTTAAGATGGGTAGCGGAAAATTGGAGTGGAAGGTAATTCGGAACCTTTGCCATTAGGTACAATTAAGCATAAAAAAACAGGATTATGCATAATCATCGAGGAGGTTCGGGATTATGCAAAAAACAGGATTCGTCAAAGTCTAATGAAAAAATCGCCTAGTCTTTAAGTTTTGGGATGCATCTCATTTATTTTTTGTATGAACAGTAAAAAAAAAATCACCTAATTTCCACTTTTTGTTGTATCATTGAAGGTTATGCAGAGATATTTTTTAAAGTTGAATCTGGCCGATTTCACCGATTCTGAATCACGATGGAATATTTGGGTACCTGTTTAGGGCACCACGGATCTGTTTTTTAAGGAAACTGGTTTAGATGGTGGGCTCAATAAAAACCGCACCTCAGCTTTACTGAATATAATATTAGCTCTAAGCTGGGTGGCATTGCTAGGCCCAAGAAGAAAACTAAACTTTTTTAGCTGGCAGGCACGGCCCCTCGAGGGGGACGGGAAAAAAAGACAGGGCAGCATTGCTCACATTAACTCTTGGTATGATACAAAGAGGCGCATTTAAAATGCAGTGATTTCCAAGCATTTATTTGCGTACTAGCGACATAAAAGTGCGAAATGAGCGCTAAACAAGCATTTATTAACGCTCTGAGATCAAATCCAGAGAGCAAATCCCCAGGCTTCAAAACGTTGCTCGTTTCAGCGACGTAATCGCGACCGCCGAGCCAAGCTTTGCCGATGAAATTTCCACGTCGAACGAGTCGTACCTCAAAAACAACTCCGCCAGGAAAAGCCGCGCCACCATCACCACGAAATCTTTGCCAGCGCACTGCTTGTTATTTTCGGTCGTGTCCTCCGTCTCTTTACCGTTCGACCATAACAAATAATTCAGCATCTTTTCTCCCTCTTCGCCCATGAACCGCTTCGCAACGAACTCCTCGGGTCGGTCGAAAATCAGCGGATCACGAGTCGCAAATGGCTGGTACCCGCACAGCATTTCACCTGCCCGAACCCTGAAACTGGAAATGTGCGAGTCGATGATCAGGTCCTTCCTAGCTCGTCCGTACTGCGTAGGCACCGGCGGCTCGATCCTCAGGGCTTCGTAGACGCAGGACTTGACCAGGGGCATCTGGGCTAGAGCGGCGGGGCTCAGCCCCGACGAGCTGTGCTGGCTTGTGGCCTGGACTGCAGCCCGGACCTCCTGAGCCAGCTCGCGGTGCAGGGTTGCGCCCGCGCGCCCTACCCACTTCATGAGGCCCGGGAGGACTATGATCAGGCCACCCCAGGTGTTGAAGCAGGTCGCGAAGAGGAGGTTATGGGAGGCCTCCACCCGGTCGATCCCCAACTCATCGGCAATTTCCAGTGGCTTCGTCTTCGAGGAATTGAAGAATTTGAAGAGACGTTCATAGTCGTTCTTCACCAGGAAGGTGGGGAGGCCGGTCGTGCGGAGCAGCACCTCCTCGATGGGCGTAGGCAGCCCGAGTGAAAGAATCGGGTAGAGTTGGAACGCGACCCACTTCTGGATTAGAGTCGGGGCGTCTTTACCAAGCTTGTCCGGGCCGGGCTCGGCGGGGTCGTGCCCCAGCAGCGCACGCGCCAGGAAATTGAAGCACGCCTGCTGGTTCGGGCTGTTAAAATCGGCTTTCCCATCGGCCGATAATTTGTCCTCCACCTCGCTGAATAGCTCAGTCATGGCCGTCGAAAACTCGGGCACAATACGGTTCCGGCTTGCCTCCAACACGCCGAACAAGAACCGCTTGAGGCGGCTGTGACTCGGTTCTCTGACGTCCAAGTAAGAAAGGACTCGGTAGCCGCCCGTTAGCTCTACAGACGGCATATAGGTGCCCGTAAAGAGGTCCTTTTTCTCGACCTTCTCGTTATCGAAAAGCACCGGAAAACTGACGCCGTCCAACAGGACGATGCAGCGCGGATCGGAGGCGATGGGGGGACCCGGGGGCATATTGGTCCGATAAACGGTGGACTGGTAACGCTGCATTCGGGATTTGAAGAACTCGTCACGTCCCTTAAAGTAATCGAGTCTGTCGCTGATGGGGCCGAGTATGGGGAGGCCGTAGCTGCCGGGAATTTCTCTCGGGGGTAATTTCGGCGCTTTCGTGGAAAATCTAGGGGTTTCTGGAGTTACGGATGCGGAGATCAAAGGGAATTTTGTTGATTTCGCCGAAACTATGGGGATTTCAGGTGTGACAGAGGCGGAGACCAGGATTTTTGGGTAAGAAAGGGCCATTTTCTCAGGGGTTAGAGAGAGATAGAGTGGCCGATAAAGTTGCAGAGGAAAAGGGTAGAACCTTTTAGAGAGAGAATACAAACAATAATTTTAGAGAGAAGAAAGTGATAAGTCAAGAGCAAATGGCAGTATGCAGAGTGAGTGATCGACTGGAGGACAACCACTGCTTTATATAAACATTTTATTTTCACACTCTTTTACGCGTTTAAAAACAACTTGGGGCGTGGGCCATTAAATTCATCTCCACGGCTGAGCCATGACCATTACGCCGTATTATTATTTATTTGTTTTGTTAGTCACGTCGAGGTGTACACCTTTCAAGTGTTCAATAAATTTTTTTTTCGCACTAAAATACTGTTGAATTGTAATATAAAAAAAAAAGATATTTTTGATCATTTAGAAAGATCGAATAAATATTTTTATAATAAAAAAATAGCATTCTAGTAGTAGTTAAAAGCATGTAATGCATTTTTTAGGTGATGCTTTTATTTCTATTAATTTTTAGTTTATTTTTTATTAATTATTTAAAATACTTTTAAATAAAAATTTATTATAAAATAAAAATATCTAAATGTTTAAAAATATTGATCAGGATCTACACTATAAGTGGTGTAGCCTAATAAAATTATTTATTTATTTATTTATTTTTTCTAATCCACTTCAACTCAGATAGGACTAAGGCCAGATCAAGGCCAAGATGTACTTGGACCGGCCCTATGGAGACTTGGGCTACACAAGGTCTAAGGCCGGCTCTACTTAAAAGAGCATGCTACACATCTACTCCATGAGAACTCTTTTACTATGAAATTTTTGGGAAGCACTTAGGAATCACTACAAGATTATTCTAAAAAAAAATAATTTAATTTTGAGTTTGCTCATACCTAGATCTTGCCTTTCAAAAATTGGACGAACTTTGTTCAATCTTGATAGATTATTATTTTTAGTATATAGAAATTTCAATTCAAAAATTCTTTTTTTTTTTTTTTGAAGGTTAATCTATTTGTCGAAGAAGGGACGCCCCCAAAGCTTAGAGTCCTAAAATTGCTCCTATTTTGGTTATTACACGAGGGGGTATATGGACAATATATTCTACTAGGAGTACAAAATATTCTTGCTAAAGATAAAAATTATAGAAAAACAAGGCTCGCCACGTACTCCCTTGGCCATACTCGTCGGTAATAAATCCATGTTATGGCTACGAATATAAGAAATTTTGGGTGGACCCTTGAAACTTAAGTGCCTTAGCTGCTCCTTTCCGGTGGACCCTGGAAACACGTTTTATGCAATGCAAAGGAAACGCTGATTAGGACAAGTTCAAATAATTATTTAAAATGTTTTGAGGCCATATTATTTTCAATATGCCGTTTTCTTTTAATGTTTGTGCACATGGTTATCTTCAATGTGCGGCTTTCTTTCAAAGGAGTTTTGGGGAATTAGAAAAAGAAATTTGGGTAATCACTTCTTTCGATTGCCTTTCAAAACAGGAACAACCCTTGAAAAATTTTACGCATATTCACTGGAAAAATAAAATAAAAACAGAGGTCCGCAATTTACATAGAGTTACAGTGCGCATTAAGGAGACTATGTGATATAAGGAGAAATAGTAACAAAAATAAAAATTAAAAAGGATGGTGAGAGATTGGGGTCTACAAGAAAATCCACTTGAATTATTTTTTTTGAGATCAAATTCTTTACTCAATCACTAATAATCTTTATTTACAAAAAAAATTGACGTTTTTCCTTTAAATACACGTAAAAAAATAATAAATAAAACAAAACAAATCTACAAATCTCTATCTCTCCTACCTCCTTTTCGTATGACAGACTGCGCTTGGGTGAATGAACAAGTATGGTAGGGGGCCAAGAACACACCGATTAAAATGTTCAATTGAGCTCCGACATGGTTTACGGCCATGGCGCACGGAATTAGAGATATTGGATGTCATAGTGATAGTTTTTCACTTCCAATTATGGGATCCAGCCCGTTCACACGGCAAACTTGTGCATCATTTTATCCTAAACCGGTTTTATGGGGGCACTCGTATAACCCCTGCACCCGCATCAAATAGCACGTCACGTCGGCCACTTGATGATCTTCTTTGAGAGTGTGAACCTTCAATGGATGTTTAACGAAATTTAAGCGTTCGATGTGGGACAATTTGTCCCATTTCTCCCGATTTCCTTTGAGAATTACATCATAAAGTTTAACTCTCTCTCCTATACCACTCCTCGACTACCTCACTCTCTCTCTCTCTCTTCCGTCCCACCTCAGGACCTCAAATTAGAGCCTACCTTTAAATAGTATCGTGAAATGTAATTTTAATATTGAAAATTTTTGTAATAGCCTCAAAATATATTTTTATTTTTATTTATAAAGTTTAAAACTTTAAAAATAGTGTAGATCGACACATATAAAAATTTGAAAATCTTGAAAATTGATGGTCCAAAAATACATTGCAAAATACATTATTTCCAAAATTTGAAATCCATTTTTTTCTCATGTCCATGCATCTTGATATCAAGATGTTAAATTCGAGGATATTTGGACATCGAAACAACCTCTTCTAGTGAAATTTTTGAGGTAGTGTCGAATTTGATTGCTTAGAGCCTCGGCTCTATGTAAATTTTTCCCGTATTTTTATTAGATGCTTAAGGACTCAATTGTCTTTCTTTTTTAAGAGATCTTGGTCATTTTGTAAAGGGTGCGGTTTGTATAGAGCCTAGGCTCCAAACAATCAAATTAGAGCCTACCTTCAAATAGTATCGAGAAATGCGGTTTCAATACTGGAAATATTTTTGACAGCCTTAAAATATATTTCCATCTTTATTTATAAAGCTTAAAGCTTCAAAAATAGTGTCGATCGACATATCTATGAAAACTTGAAAAGCTTGAAAATTAACGGTCCAAAAATGAGTTACAAAATATACTATTTTCAAAACTTGAAATCTATATTTTTTTCATGGTCATGCATCTTGATATCAAGATGATCAATATGAGGATATTTGGACATCAAAACGACATCTTCTAATGAAAGTTTTGATGTAGGCTTAAATTTGATTGTTTAGAGCCTGGGCTCTATATAAACTTGCCATTTTGTAAAATATAGGAAGCAATTACGTTACTTTTGCCACGTCCTAGGGAAATAGATGCTATAATCTTTTGTTTGTATAACATGCTCTTATCATAGCATACTATATTCTTATTCTATGTAATATGATACCTTACTACATATACATGTACATAATAAATATGAGAAAAAAGTTTATATAAGGATGCAACCTTATAATGTAGAACTGTGGATGCCATTCAAAAATCCATCGGAAAAGGTAGTTTTAATGTTGAAAAACCCTTTGATTGATCATCTCACATCAAGATGTATGAATATGAAAAATAAAAAGATTTTAAGTATCAGAAATAGTGCATTTTACAACATATTATCCACACTGTCCACTTTCAAGATTTTCATATGTTTATAAATCTACTTGATTTTGACTATTTTTGAAATTTAAAATTTTATAATTAGATATAAAAATAGATTTTGAGATAATCCTAAGAATATTTTACATCAAAATTATATGCCATGATAAACTTTGAAGGTGCACCTTACCGCTACACCTACGGATGCATCCGTATGCCAACTACACCCTAAATATAATGTTTATCCTAACCAAGCTCCTAACTTGAAAACAATTTCTTGATTGACACTTGTTACCAAACCGGTTCATGTTTTATATATAGAAAATTGTTGTTCTATTTAAAACAATTTAGACCAAAATAATTGCCTAAGTAGGACCTTAAATAATATCAAGTAAAGATATATAAATATTGTTCATTGACTTTAATGTATCTTTATAATACCTACAAATCATAATTCTTTTACATGTCATCTTTACATAGTGATATTTTTTATTGGGAAAATATATTTGTGGACTCTATTTTTAACTTTCACTTCTCAATTTTAAAATGTATCCGGTGACATGAATATTCTATTTGTTATATCTTTTATCCCTCGAACCAAATTTTCTTTTTTTTGCCATAATTTTTAACTCAAATAAATTTTAAAAAAACATCTTTTTTAAAACCTTTCTTCTGTCTTCGTGCGTTTTTTTTCTCTCTCCCCCTTAATCTCCCAAACCCCTCTCCCTCTGTTTTTTTTCAAAAGAAAGTTATGTTTTTGTCTTTCACACAATGGATTTTATTGTCACAGTGATGCTCATTGCGCAACATTCTTACAAAGTCATGACAGTGATGAGGGCTCTGACAGCTTTAAAGCAGGGATTATTCATTGGTGCTTTTAGTCATCAGGAGATATTTTCTCTCCCCAAGAAAAAAATAAAAAAATCTTCACTTGTGTTTTTTACTTTTCACTACTCTCTTTTTTATGCATGAATATATATATATATATATAGAAAACACTACGCAATACTTATAAATAAACAGTGATTTTGCCTACCCTCATCACCGTTTAAAGTTCATTGTGCGATCACGATTGTTTGATAGTTTTTTATTTTTCATTTTTGTTACAAATCGAAATGACTTGAAATTTGGAGCGTGCATTCATCAAAAATAGGAGAATCTTCGAAAATTATAAAAAAAATATTTTACATGAAAAACATTAACCAAAATATCTCCAAAAAGTTTCGGGGGTATTTTAGTCAATTTATTTTTCAAGGATAATTTTTTTTATATTTTCATTAGATGCGCCTCAATAAGATGTACATACCCTCCAAATTTTAGGTCATCCCAATTTGCAAAAAAAAAATAAAAATAAAATACTATTGGACAATCGTGATCACGCGATAAAATTTGAACAGTGATAAAGATAGACAAAATCACTATTCCCTTCACCTTGAAAAGACTTTTCCTATATATATATATATATATATATATATAAGCACGTTATGAAACCCTAGCCATTATGCATAACCCCACAGTGAAAAGCTCAAAAATTTCTTCTACCATTACTATCTCTCTTCTAAACAAGGCAAGGGGCAAATTGAGAGCCTCTCCAGTTTTTACAGTGGTTAAGGCCTCCATTGCTTCTTTGGTAGGAGTTCCGTATCCATTGGTATCGTTCCAATCCAGGCCCTATGGGCATTTGATTTTAACCTCCATTTTGAGGTTCATCATTTGGGAACAAGGCAACAATATTGGCAACCTCAGAAT